CTCCTTTATAGCGAACAAACTACTAGTGTAGCGAGAACGACACGGTAGGGGAGAACGCTGTTTATTGCACGCTGAGAGGTTCACACACATGTGCCACGCACACACACAAATATAGCCGCGTTTCCCACTTACGACGCACCACGTTCCGCCGAGTGAAGTGGTGTCCACTAAGCGCCATTAGGCTGATCCGACGTGGACATTGAATGTGCCGTTTTCCGCCCACATTTCTGCTCCCTTGCGTCGCAGCCTATCCAGACTGGATTCGTACCAAAGCTCTCGACTTGCTTGCTCGGGGCTGTGTTGCTCTGGTCGGGCCGATTCCTGGGGCCGTAGATAAAGGCATATCTCTTGGGAAAATCGGGCTCCCTTTCATGTCGCCTCTTGTTCTTCTCGGCGTGGCCGCGGTATCGTTTGTCGCTGACGACCCATTCCCGGCTTGCATCGTAGGCCACGAGCTGGGTTGACGATTCCCGTTCCCAGTCTCCGCGTTAGTCCCGATCTCCTGCTGCTTCCGGGCCATTTCCGTGTGAACTGAGATCCGCGCCCCTACACTAGGTGTAACACACTGTACAGAAGTTGAAGTAGGCACGTTGCAGACAATGTTTTTACTCATGGGGGAGAGAGAAGGGAATTGGTACTGTTGATTCTGTGGAGTCGGGGTAATATTGGGACGCCTGGCTCTCTTCTGCCTGAATGGGGAATTCGGGATGTTATTTTCACATATAATTGCAGGTCCGTTTCCTCTCACAGGTGTAACCCTGGCGCACACCAGTTGCTCAACTGCTTCTATTAGTCTTTCACACTTCTTCAGTAGCACAGTTAGACAGCTAACAACTGGGATAGCACTTCATACTGGGCAGAACCAAAACGCCTGTCGTGTTATTATACCGTCTCGTTTTTATCAACTCCGTCCCAAAGCATTTTGTGTGATAGGTTTTCAAGCAACTGCTGCAAACTGGCCCACTCTTCACCATTTTAACACACAACTCGCACTTGCTTTTAACGTGAGAGATGTTCGCAGAGGACGCGAAGTTTTAAGCTCACGCGTTTGTCGGATGATCAGTTAGTGCAGTTTCCCGCGCCATTGATAGGCGTGAGTCAGCGTGGCGCCCGCTGCAGCGGTGGTCCCTTGTAAGCACACGTTGCAGTGTTGGTCGGTTGATCGATCGATGTTAGACCTGGCTGGTTTGGGACCTAGTAAATGAATCTAAACACAACGCTGAACACAGATTGAGAGGTCACAAATTCCTTCACAGATGAGTTGAGAAACACCGGATTGGAATAAGCTTAGGCTTTTCGGGCTGCCTAGAGAATTCTGCAGCGAATGGTGTTGCCCAGAAAGGTGATGGACGTAAGTTGAATGAGTTATCCGCTTGTGTTCAATCACGGATGACAGTCAGATCCGTTAGCAATGGTTAGGACTTTAGTGGTAAAAGATACTTCCACGAATGATGGATCATTGTGTAGAGCTGGTAAATCCGGTTCGAATGAGCGTACATTGACTACGCTGCGATAAGATATAGAGGATTCTTCCAAATGACCCGGGAGCACGCGCGTCAAATGTGTGTGTGATGTGAAGCGCAATTCTTCGACTGTTCGGGGCTGCGGCCACGCGTTTATTCCTTCGCACTTTCCGGATCGGTTTTGATGCCATCTGGCGTTATTGCGTGCCAAAGAAGGTTTACGTAGTTGCGGAGAAAATGACATTTTCGACCTTTTAACTTTAATCCTGCTTTCCGCAACTGCTGCAACACCATACGCATGCGGACGTTGTGTTCTTCGATCGATCTACCGTGAGCTGTAATATCCAAATAAATCAAGCATTCCTTACGCACGAGGCCCTCCAGTACTTTTTGCATTAGTCGTTGGAAATTTGCCGGGGCATTAGCCAATCCACCGGCATGGTCTCGAATTCGTACAAATTAGAGGGCACAATAAACGCCGTTTTCCCCCGATCGGATGGACGGACTTCTACCTGCCAGTATCCGACGACCAAATCGCGAGTAGAGAACCATCGCGCATCGTGAAGAGCGTCAAACGTAGCATCGATATGGGCATTGGGAAAGAGTCTTTACGAGTCACCTCGTTTAACTTCCGACAAGCCACGCACAACCGTGGAGAACCGTCCTTCTTTTTCACTAATACAAGTGAAGAGGATCAAGGCGATGTTGACGGTCTAACAACGCACTTGCCAAGCATTTCTTGGATCATACTAATTAGCTGGGCCTCGTATTGGATGGCTATCCTCTGAGCACGTTGACGAATAGGGTGCTGACTCCGTGCCAAGCCTTTGAATTACGCTGGTGCGACCAAGTTGACTGTTGCAAAACAGATCTTCATAGTCTCGAAGCAGAAAACCGAGATGCGCCTTTTGGTCTAGGGAAGTACTGTCGTCGTTACGCAGCGGTGCTATGCTTTAGAAGTCCCTTCTAGTATTGTGCAAAACCGTCGTGATTCATGCACCTGCGCGCTGTCCGGAGATGACTTGTGTACTAGGTCTGCGGTACCGAGCTACAGTGTGCTCCCGTGTTTAGCCAAAAGATCCATCCCCAGGATGGCATCCTAGCTTAAGTTTCGGCAAACTAGTAACTCATGAATGGCAGTTACATATTCGAGTTAGACTTGAGCTAACAAAATGAATTCAATTGGTAACTCTGCCCCGTTGGCAGTTAGTACCCGCGATCGTTTCTGCTTAGTGACGTGACGACCCACGAAGAGGTTGGTAACCTCTAAACACAACGGAGCATAATGCACCGGTATCAAGCAAGAATTGGAATTCAGCATCATTAAGCCGGCCTACGGTAGTCCAGGGGCAATATGAAACATCACGGACAAAAGTGGAATTTAAATATGATGTTGGACTGGGGCGTGATCTAGCTTGTGGTCTCTGTGGTTTGATGGGCGAGTTGTTTCCACAGAACTGTGCGCGTCTACCAAAGTGCCGATAATACCAACAATTGCGCTTGGCCGGGTTGATGCTGATAGTTCCACTGTTGGTAGTGGTTGTTTGAAGCATACCTTTTAACGCTAAACACAAACAACATTGCCCATACCTGTTGCGATCATTTAGAAGGTCGAGAGAATCATAGAACTTAGCCTTGCTGACAGCATCGGCGAAACTGCAAGGCAATTCGTCGGCGAGTTCGTGGCGCAACGGCCTGTCGGGCGGTCCTGTACAAAACCTCTCCGCCAACCACATGCCTCGTTCCAAATTGGTGAAACCCGGCAACGCTCTGAGTGCCAGTTCTTGGAGAGCACGGGGATTGCGTCCATGAACTCCTCCGGAAGCTGAGTGCGGGCTGCGAACTTCTGTCTGTACATGGCAGCTGCTTCTTGACTGCGAAATAACCCGCGAAGTGATCCCCAGATTTCAGACGCAGGAGCCGTTGGGGGTATACCGGTCGCGCGAAGGAGGCGCGTCGCCTCCTCACTTAGAAAGAGGGTGTAGGGGTCCCATATTCTTCTTCGGGACATTGTGTAGCGACAATGAAGCACAATCTTTATTGGCGTGATCACAAGCTATGTCAGCACTCACACAGGCGTACATTAACGAGTCATGTTTCCTTCCTCCGTTGCACCATCTCTCCTGGCTTCCGATCGCGACACGTCCGTGCACTCTTTGAGACGCCTTGGTACTTCAGAAAAAATTGCACCAACAGTTTACGGAGACGAGCATATAGATGGTGAATTAGATAACATCGCTCCTGTTGCCCATCAGTACAGTAGGGACAATGAGAACGTATCGCATCGTATTTTCGACGTCCCATATACTAGATGAGGTATTTATCTGGTGGAAAGCGTCGTGCGAAAGCGTACAAACGAGCGTTTGCTACAGGCTGTCGGATATATGCATAGGGTTTCAGGTATGTGTGCATGAGGCCACAAGGGGGTTGCTTCTTTGTCCTTTGGCTCTAGTTATTTGATTTATATGGATAGGTGCATATCCCGACGAAGTCATTTCTGTTTCCAATTACACATGATAAGAAGGTACATTTTGTCGCACGAGTCGCTTTGACTTTAATGCGTTGTGCCACGGATCATAGCATTGCAGCTAAATAACTTTCTGGGTCTTGCCTTTGTATGCATGAAGGCGAGAACCCGGTCTGGACCGAGAACGGTTGATAGTTGCCAGGGTTGCATCGAAATCGGTGTGGCTCTTCATGCATTACCATGCCACGTGAATGTTTAATCAAACTGATCTATCACACTGGTGTGGCAATTGCGCTTCTCACAGGCAATTTAACTCTCCTGAGTTTGGTTCATGGAGTTGGAATGTGTGACGGTACGGATACAGAGAGTTGATGCCATCGGTGCTCCGAACAAACATAGACATGCTTGCGTATGGGGCTGCAAAGTACTATCACGTAGCGTATTGAAGCTTCCCCACTAAGTGATCACAAACCCCAGGTAATTCATGATCTCATTGTAAACCGTTTTGTTTACTAGGCTGTAGTTTTAATGACGATTTCGGACCTGTCAATGTTTTCACAATAGAAAAAACATTTCAACTAATTTCAGAAAATGAAGAGCTGTATTTTTGCGATTTGCACTTAGAGGCACTATGACTTAATCTTTCGTCACCGAGTGAGAGATATCACTAACCACGCGTTTAATTTGCCGGTCACCGTTGAAATAAGAACTGACCACGACACAGATTGTGGGACATGTACGGTGCCGTAACAATCCGTAGTTCCATTCAATTCGATTCAACGCGAATTAAGCTCGCTCGAATTGGCGTATGAGTTCCGCGGTGTATCTTTTTACAGTGCATGGAATAATTTAGACCTGCAGATTACTTGAACTCCACCATAAAATGCATATTATGCCATGATGTAACTTATCACGCGCTGTCTGTCACCGGAGACTTCAATTTGGTGGACAGTGAATGCGACCTGCAGTGGGAAATCGCAGCTGTGCCTGAGACTCAGGATGTGCTCATTCAACTTGCGGCGATGTCAACATCTCTGACCATCCGAATTCACGTGTTTGTTACCCAGTGGATGGCGTGCTCAGGTGGGTCACCTTGTTCTTTTGCTATCATCCCGTGTGTCTAACTCTCATGGAAACTTGAGTCTATCTCTCATCATGTATTTATGCAACATTGGTGTATCTTTTCACCCTCTCATTCGATTATCTGTATCTCTTTTTCCCGCTCCTGGGCTGCATTCATTTGAGCCGATTCTAAGTTAGAACTCATCACAACTTTACACTAATGGTTACCTGCGGAGACCCTTCGTTGACCACAGTCACCGTATCGTGCTCGTTTGCAATGCTGAGATCTCGAGTCGTTGACTGAGATATTGGAGACAAAATTTATCCTCCCTGCTGATTGTGTTTGTCACTTCGGTTCTCTGCGGATCAATGAAATTCAAGTCATATTGCACCCATCGATTGCACTTTCCCATCATGAAAAGCACATTGTTCTTACTCCAATTCGGGGGAACACGCAAATACTGTCGTCATGATACTTTCTGGTTTTCTTTTATTCAACTCGTGTCCTTCGGTCCGATCAGCGTATCGGCCACATTTTAACTTCTTATACCTTTCTATGCTCTGGTCCTGATAGTACGTCTGTACGTGTTTCGCTTGGAAAATCTAGTTGTGCATGATGGGGGTCCGAAAAACATGCAACTGCCTGGTCTGGCACCACAATATCTCCTCAATACCGATAATAAATATGCGCTGCAAACACTATTTATTTGAAAGGTGGACCGACCGATCGTTGTAGCGAGAATTTATAACAGCAGAACGGAAGCCTACAATGCATCATCCGCTCTAACTCCCATCGAAGCTGTCTCACGTTTCTTTTTGATCACCTTTGGAGGTGAAGGTGTTAACTACCTCTCCACTCCATCGGGAACTGTGGATTCTTCATGACTAAAAATTGCATCCTGCACGATCACATTAGGCGATTACGAAATTGTGGCTGGTGACAATCAGACCCATCGTAACTGTCGTCCAACTGCTTCTCATCACCCATTCAAGCGAGGTGGCAATTTCTTTCGTCCTGCTAAGGCTTGGAACCAGTGGTTCGCCACACTTTGTCGTTCGCGGATTTATGTGTTTGACCTGACAGAACCTTCGTATGGACTAATAATTTTTTCTCCCCACGGTGCGTCAGCTTGTAAGCTTATTTAAATCTATGCGACAGGACAAGCGAATTGGCTTTGGGATTATGATTTGGGGCAATTTCAGCTGAGTATACGCAGGCACGGATGCGATGTCTTGATAAGTTTGTTTATATGCTGTTGCTTCTATCGTCTGCACCACACATTGCAGCGTACAGTGTCACTCGGCGATGCTCGAGTCATGATTTGCTTCGATGGCACCCCAAACATTCCAGAAGCGACCGATCTTGCATACCAGTGCCATGAATTACCTAGAAAATACTATCTAACCCGCACTCGAAAGCCTACTGCTCATATTCAGCTCATCCTTGTGCTTGAATGTTCACGAAACACTCCTATTGTCTACGTATTTGCTAAAACATAAACCGCTCATTCGCGTTCGTTTGCGACATGGATTAACATGTGCTGACGCTCGTTCCCATCAATTGCTCTTTGAGACACAGTTGAACGTTATGACGAGTGTCACGGCTTACCTTGTGCAAAACCATGGAAGTGATCTCTACTCATCGTGCTGACTTGGACAGATCAGACGTTGGCAGAAATGGATAAACCACTTCAAATGTTCTGGTCCCAGCGCAGTGCTGTGCTTAAGTGCTACAACGGAACCCGCCATGATATCTTCTTTGGATCGAAGGTCACACTCAAACGGTTTTGCTGTTGCGTTCTTCCTCCAAAAGCCACGCATCTAAGGGACTCATCGCAATGTATCCTCTGCGTTTTGGAGTCTTGGAACCAATTGCTCGGTGCAACGACGGGATGTTGAACGATTTTACCATTGTATAAAGTACTCCTAACTACAATCGGGATTCACCCCACCGTTCACTTTATACGTGGTGAACTGAGCATTAGCCAACTAAACATTCTTCCTCCTTACGACATCATCATAAGGATATGTGACTCGTCAGCCCAACGGTAATCAGCAATCAGCCTGTTGCATCCGGAACGAACTGTTCTAACGGTCTGCCTTCGCATTGGGTCACAGTGTATCATTGGAGACTCTACCATGGTCGCAGTGTCCTAGAACACTATATTGTGAATTGTGTTTTACATTCTCCTCTTCCTCCATCTAGCCCCTAAATAGGGAAAAACGGACCGCTTGCATAACTTCACTCGCTACATCAGAATCTGTACTAACGTCGTATCCCATTTCCACTGGGCTTCTTCATTCACGATAGTTCACAACTCTCCGCTGTGATTGTTATGGTGCTTACTCACAGGTGCTGTGAAGGATGTCATGGACTGTTTGATTTGGCCTCCCAGAAATGATGTCCTGTCTTTCATCCATTTTCTCTACTTTGCTTCCCTCCGTTTTCCCTGAAATCGTTCTACGACAATAGACATTACGATACAACAAAAACAAAATGCTGAGCATTGTTTCACTGCATTGTTCTCAACCACACATCATATACCCCACCCACACTTCTCTTCCAACCTTTTGTACACCTGAGGATGTGTTGTAGTGTGTGCCGATAGATTTCTTACATGAATTCTTTTGTTCTCATCTTACTCGATTAGGTCTACTCGGTCTGTATGTGCTGTTGTTATGTGTGAGGCTACTTCCGTCGGGCCGCCTCCTTTAGGGATCACCCTTCCATTCACTCGGATCACACTGACCCTTACATTGGCAACATCGCACTTGAACGTGTTGGCATGCGGTTGGTGTGGTTGCTTGCCCAATCAAAACTTGGTGTCCACTGTATTCACTTGACTGAACAACGAAAGAATCAGTCGTTTCAATAGTCATCGGATGAGTTACAAGCATTCCTCTCTGGTTACCGACTTTCTTGCTGAGCCGCAACTTATCTTGTGGCATTATAAGCTAGCTCTGTTGACTTCTGGCTATTCGAGAGTAGTTAAAGTTTTTTTCTTTTGTAAAGATTCTTTGTAGTCCCCAATGATTTGATTTTAAAGTTCTGGATGTGCGAAATGCCCCTGACATAAGCAATAACCGCTCATAGCTATCATTCCGGTAGGCAAAAATTTGAACGTGCTCAGCATGTAGCTTATATGCTCAGCTGAAGTTTACAGTACGTCTTACGAAGATCGATGCGCAGGGGACTAGAGCTGTACACCCAGTTCTATCACCGGATTCTGGTTGAATTCATTATGACCCACTGGGTGACTTCCCTTTGCTAAGGCCGCTGATGCAAACGGGCACACCAAACAAGGCACGCGGACACCAGTACAAACTTGTAGTACGGGATCTGAAGCGAGTAGCGCCATCTCTATGTTTGGAGCGTCGAGTGGCGAAATAAGGAAATAGTTTGCCAGAAGCATACTTTCAGGCGAAATCGGTGTTGCAATTCAAAAAGTACCCATATGCCCAAGTTTTGGATTTCAGAATTCGAGAATGCATCCGTACTTGAATAGGACAATGTACAACTGCAACATGTTGAAAAAGCGCCCGAATTAACGTCGTACTTCCACGTGATTGCTCTGTTGAATTGCGACGGAGGAATACAAACATCTCTCTGTCTATTGACAGTATACAGTAATTTTTTTGGGTGTTTGAAAACACCCGGTCTCAATGGGGTTTTGTTATCCTCTGGTCTTGAAAGTCAGTTTTGTGCGCCTCGTCCATCCATAATGTTAGCACCTTTGTTCTTCACTGACCCACAACGTCAAATCTGCGTGGACAACTCGACAGCTGCGAGTAATTGTTCACTCCTCAAGTGAGATACTTCCATACTGCCAACACCACTATCCTACCCAACCGTTCTATCAAAACCTTTTGCTGCCACCTCTTTGTTATGAAATCACGGTTAAAACCAGCTGATTGAGGTGATAGGTAGTAGGAATACGAATGAAAAAAATGTAGTGTACTTTACACACATCTAGATTTGAAGCTACGATTCTCTATCAACACCGTACAATCAAAAGATCGCTATTATTCGGAAGTTGAACTGCTTCGATAGAACAACGTCCGCTTCCCCAAAAACTGCCCACACCCCATTCACGTATCTCCAACAGGATACAGTTGTGTCATTGGGGTAGGTCTTCTACCCAGACACTAGGCTAGTCACGTTAATTCAACTCAGAATGCCGTGTTCAATCGTCAACGCCAAAATTTCCCTTCGTCACGAGAACGATTACTCCTCTCGAACCTTAAGTCATCTTAGATCCATTCGACAAAACAAAGCTATCTACCTATAGTGGAACCATTGTTACATCGACTCGTAAACACTTTACTTATGAACGCCCTGAACGCAAAATGTCCTTGACGATCTAATTTCAAATTTGCTCGAAGTAAGCACACGGTCTGTGTCTCGCAGTATCGAAATATACACTTTATTTTTGTTTATTTATAACTCTTACACTCATACTGTAATGTAGAATACTTCTAAGAGGCGAAAACCCTGGAAAACGGTGCGGATCTCATTGCTCAGCGCTATCAATTTCTTTATTTTTCGTACACATGCAAATGATGATGAACCTGAAAATTCTTTTCACTACTGCCTTGCATATCGATAGTTCGAGCAGACATCTGTTTTTGACACTTCCCTGTACACTTTGATCGATCGGCCTCTTGCGCAGAAGCAAAACATATCACTTCTTCATTAGATATCATCACTGTTACTAATCTTATACCTTCACATATTGTATATTCTTCTTTACTTCATTGTTGACCACGACCGGGTCGATCTCCTGTGGTGACGGATTTAAGATTACAATGCTAATAAGTGTATGACCTAAAATCCATGGACAACACGAATAGGCTTTACCAAAACGGCCTTCGTATGCTTTGGGCGCTCAGGCGCGGCTTCAGCACTTGGTCTGAAGATGTTGCCACTTGCTTCTTCATCTCAATAATACGACCAATTTTAGAATATAGTTCTCCCGCATATTGTTCTATCACCCGGGGGCGAGGTAGAAAAGATTAAGCGAGTGCAGCATGTAGCCACCAGGCTGTTTCCCAACTTACGAGGTATGCCGTACGAAGACCGGTGTAGGAAACGGGCTTTACACCCTAGCTTATCGCCGACTGCGCGTTGAACTCATGATGACGCACCGGATATTACATCTGAGAGATTACCCCATGTTGAGACCGCTGCCGCATCTGCGCACATCAAGCAGTACACGAGGACACCGGTACAAACTTGTAGTATCGGATTCGGTGCCGGGTCGCCACCAACTCTGTTTCGAACGGAGAGTGGTGAATCTATGGAACGACCTGCCGCAGCATGTAGTTGAGGCAAAGTTGGTGTCGGGATTTAAGAAACCCCTGGACAAACAATTTACCGATAAAAAATGTATATCGAGCGTACTCCAACATAACGGGTCTTTGTACCGGAGTGATATTAGATGCAGCTACACAGAGATATCTCTTCTTGCTGATTCTAACCAGTAACCATGCAAGGCGCATTGCCATTGGTTCCCTGGCGAGAAAAAAATGCTTAACTCAAAATATACCATTGATGGTACGGGCTAAATGGCTTGACTGTCCACACTACATATACCGAAGAAAAACAGCCCTAAAGATGAGTTGCATAAGTGATGGCCTACCTGCTTTAAAAGCCACACCGGCACACGACCAGATGAGGCATGGGTGAAACTCATCAAGGGAATAACCCGCATGGAAACAGGTCCCCAGGAGACGGTTCCATGGATAACCGTATTACTCCACTCATATATTTGGATTTCTCTACATTTATTATTTTCGACCTCTCCATATTCCCGAAAGATTTAACCGATCATTTAGACATGTCCGCCAAAAATAGTTGGAGAACCGCTTTGGAATTTCAAAACAAAACATCTGTTCCTTGCGATTCCGCCGTACATCAAGAATCGTGGCATCCAGTTGAACTGGGACTTACACCGTCGAGGAACATACCGGTTTTTTATTCCCCACAATTTCATATTGCTTATGCAAGAGTACGGTATTACCTGTACACATATGATATGTGCTAAATACGGACGCAGCTTCTCACTATGATCCCCGCTTCCTGCCAGAACAACGATTGCCCCTAAGTTATCATAGGTCCAGTAGACAAAACGTGTCCATCTACAGGCAGTGGGGAGCATACAAGTCACATCTCCTTGACTAACACAGCCTACTCAGAATTGTTTGTTGAAATATTGATCCATACTGTTCCTCATCACCTAGTACTGGTCTGCATACCTTACTGTTATTGACACACCAGTGGCACCAGCCATACGCAGTGCTCAGTAGGTCTGAATAGTCTTAGACCTGAAAGCACTTGAGATCCGAATAGGAAATAAAAATGGAGCCAGAATTACTCCCTGAAGAACACCGGGATTCGTGACGAATTATCCCAAAAACATGATAAACTGGTTGCGCATGGTTAAGTAATACTTCAGTAGAACAACAGACCATAGCAGAGCAGATCACGCAAAAACGATTCACGGTTACACAACTGAAAGCTTTGCTGTAGGCTAGGGAGTAGATGTGCGTGGATTTGTTTTTATCACCCATTGATCAAAGCAGAGAATGTACGAGGCGAGCTATCGTGTCCAAGGTGGATGTGGAATTGGGATATGCAAACTGATGGCGGCCATTGTATTGCTTCTGGGCTAACTTTCAACAAAGAATGAGCCTCTGAATAGTCTTCAAAATAATCGACATGCACGCAGTTGGTCACCGTTTGCAGGTCCCTTTCTTTGGCACCGGCGTGATGCTTGCGCTCCGCCAGTTATCGACTCTCTTGTCTTGCTTTAAGCACAGCGTGTACAACTCGGCGATAATAAGTAAACCTGCATGAAGAAATGAGCCGAGGAGTTCGCATAGACTAATATCTAACGCCTTCCTGCATAGGATCCCCATAGCCACACCAGTTGTTGGGGCTTTATTAACAGGACGCATCCAAGAACTGACAGTCTCTTGCTTCTAACTGTTACACTTTTAATGCAATTACTCTCATTTCTGTCGTTATCACTCTTTGGTGTATTTTTTGCTCTTTCCTACCATAAATTTTACAGCTATGGCGGTGTCAGCTATTCTGACCAGATCTAGCCCACTCTGGTGTTCGGTCCATTGCTGTCTAATCGAACTGAAGTAGAGGGACTTGAAAATTTTTAAAGAAACTCGTCACAACTAGACTTGGACAGTCGTCATATAAAAGTGGTTGGTGCAGGTCCGCTCTATTGGAATACAAAAGCAGCGCGGGTTCTTTTAAGCCCTACTGGCTGAACGCCCACGGCCTTTTGCAATGGAGTAACTAGGTCGCCGCCCCAAGGGGTGATCCGTGGGCCTACGTAATACACAGCGCGGTTCACTCTCCGGAGTCATGCACCTAAGTTCCTTGTAGAGAAGACGGTTAGTCTTCCTGAGCACCTCTATCCGCGCTCACGCCGCCAGTTAACTGACAGTATTATAAGCAGGATAAGTAAAACGCTGCTTTCTCTTTGCGTCTGGTCGACTATGATTAGATTCCTGGGCGGCGATCGCAATGTGCGTTGAGGGAAAGGTCGTTGAGACGAAAAACTTTGTCCACACTGATGAACAGTAGTACTGTCATTTGTTTCGGCGATCCCTTATGCAGTGGTGACGGTATGCTAACGAGGCCCTGTAAATGCACACAACGAACTTACATATATAAAGTGGCTGTCGCAATGCAGCGAGAAATGTCTGATAATCCTTTTGCAAACCTGCAGATCCTTGCACGTTAGGCAAACTTATACGACATGGAACTCTGTTGCCGGCGGTGTGCTAAAGGATTTATCATGGTCCAGTCTGCAATCAAGATGGAAATTATTTCACAAACTAATAGGTGTCATGTTGACCCAGTTCATAGTGATCACAGATATGGAGTTTCAAAGAGATCGGCCCACAAAATCGTGCTAGTGTTGCAGTGGATACTCACACGCATATCCAACATACAGTGGTGGTAAAATGCTCGCCCCCATCAACATGTGTAAATTCGTAAACCCTTAAATTCGGCTCAGGGTAAAATGCACATTAGTTTTGGATGAAACAAATGATCGTTTGGGACACTGAGGTAGATGGGGTTGAAGCGACCACAAGTAGGGGGACCACAAGGAAGAATGTTTGCACAGGTGTGATACATGGTGCAAATGTGCCGTTAGTCATACAGCGTAGCATTAAAGTATTTATCCGTCAGTTTATCTGGAAATTTTGCTTTTCTACATTTGATATCGAACAATCAACGGTATTAAAAATGCCGCCCGGCGCGGACTGTCTATGCTACGCCTCAGCCCACACAGCAGATCTAGTTAAACAAGGGAAGTGAATTTGTTTAGTGGCAAGCCGCATCCGTCACATCGCAGTGTTGTTGAGCAAACAGTTGTGGCTTTTATGAGGGGAACACAGGCCAGGTGAAAAGCCACCACGTTCTGGAACAATGTCGCCGAACTATTTGCTGAAACGAGGTACATCCGAACTACCCAGCTTGACACCGCAGAGGTTGTTCGGTGAGTCAGCCAAATCGATTGAAAATGTATCCTGAACTTGTGGTTGGGAATTCGAGAGCACGGGTTAAACAACGAAAATCACGGGCACCCCATTGTTTCTGCTCATATTCATATTCACCCTTATCTTATGATGATTGTCGGGGTTTAGCAGTCCTGAGTTCTCAATCGATACACTGACCACCCTGGTAATGCGCTAATTTCATCGAATTCTCGAAGCTTGAGTGAACTCGGTGATCGCGTCACACTCTTTGCATTCTCCGTGATCTCTTCCTTCCTCGATTGTGCATAACAACTGCTGTCTCACCCTTATCTGAGCAGCACCCATGTTGTCTGTTTTGCAGCGTTCACATCAAATCAGCCCATGACCAAGCGGACACAACGTGGCCCACAATATGTTGACGACCTTTTACGATGTGTTTACATTCTGTTCCCATTCTTGAACCATATCATCCCCCCAAAGCCTACAGAACCTCACGTTAAACAGTGTATCCTTTGGATAGCCGAACTTTCCCGCAACCTTCTCAGCGAATGTTTCGTCATTCCATTGTTGAATTGTTTCGCCTTGCATATCGGTGGTCGTCACAACTTCGGGCGCGCTTTGACCTCAGTAGTTGTCCTGTACTTGTTTTTGTTTATTATGATTCTCTACTACTGTCTCATACCACGCCGACTTTTTGTCATGAAACTATGTTCCCGAATGGTTGTTTCCGAATGTGACGCACAATTCGAAGCTGTTTGGTTCATCATTCATCTAATTTGCAGTCATTGGTTCTTGATCTTGGTGTTTTTTCACTATTTTTATGCCATCTTGCTACACGCTGGCACAGTTCCCAATGTTCTGTACCCGGAAATGTCCCCACGCTTCAGCATATGCGCTCGATGTGACTACCCCAGACCCCCACGCGCGCATCACTGTAATGTGTGTGGCCAATGTGTGTTGAAGATGGATCACCACTGTCCATGGATTGCCAACTGCGTTGGCTTGAAAACACACAGACATTTTTATCTGGCACTGGTGTACATGAGTCTGGGCGGTGTGTATATGCTCACGGTTGGTCGCAATGATTTCTCTGCTCATATACGTGAAATTGGGCAGTCCATTCTCACAAAAGCGCATAACCGCAGCTCGAGTGAACAAGCTACTGTTTGGCAACATTCGAGTCAATTCTATGCGATTCGCTTCATACACGCCCTTTCCGCTATATATTTCCGAATCGGTCTAATCGCTATTCCCCTGGTGTTTGCTCTGTGCTGTTGGCAAACGTATCTCATCACACGCGGTGAAACCAACGTGGAGTATCACACCAATCAGCGATTCACACGGAAACTACAGAGACGGGGCCTTATCTATCGTAATCCCTATGATTTTGGGCCGTTCGTCAATTGGGCAAACTTCCTTGGCCTTTATAATCCAACTGAGTTCGCACTTGGCGAATTCCGGTTCAAACGGAGCACACTTGTTTGGCGCGTCATCACTCGTGTTCTTCTTCCGTCGCCGACGGTCTTGTGCGAAGACGGACTGAAGTACAGAGTTAACACTCCGACCGTAGAATCTACTTTAGCGGCGTTGAAATTCCAGGAGGAAATAAGTTGAATCGTCCTCTCGCAGTGGTGCATGTTACAAGCTTCATTTCGGTGGGTGTTCTCTTCCCAAACGACCACCGCATAATAGCGATACGGCTGGCTCTACATTATTTCAAGTCTGAATAGCCAGTCGCTCCGTCGGTTGTCTCATTATTTTTGCTCTATGTTTCATCACCTGCATTTATATTTTTGACACTTTTCCAACTTTACTGTTTACTAAAACATTGTGGTGTACCATCATTATCATGAGCAGCATTAAACACCTTGGTCGGAGGTGGAAAACATCCCAGCTATTGTGCCGCGTACCATGGGATATAAACTATCTCTTTTACATTCGCTGAGTTCTCACTAGTGATGCTTTGCATAGGCTCTTAATTTCACCTCAGTACCCTTAGGTAAATCGACTCATTCCTGATTGCATCCTCCCTGTTTGCAAATGATGACGCAGTTCGTGCAGCATCCCCGATTAGTTCTTACCAGCTAGACAACTTTTATTTTCGGGTGCAACACATCATGTTAAGGCAATTCGTCAGCACTAGCAGACGCAGTGTTATGCTTGTCCTCCCCGCAATGTTCAACTGGCCAAGTCCACCGGAATTCGTACCATAGTCGACAAGATCGCTAGCCCAATCCACTGTCTTATGTTACACAGATGCTGTTTGTACTGATCCGGGTACGGCAGAAATGACGGTCTGGAGCCTGCCAGCATATTGTCACTGAAATCGTCAAGTTCATCTGAATGCCCTGAGTGGCTGAAGGCGCTCTTTTCAATACCACTACCAACAATTCCCTTTTCCACGGAATTGAAGCGGGTTCCGAAATCTTTGCAGGTAGCGAGTACTATGGTTTCGTTCGAAACACTGATGGGAGACACGCACATGCGTTGGAACATGTCTTCTACTTTCGCCTTTGTTACACAGTTGGCAGGGAGTGAATTTACACGCACTATGGTGTTACAGCGACCGTGGTGCGATGCTGACAATTTCACCAGATGGTAAAATGGTAGATACATTGAAGGAAGGGGCAGTAACTGAGCGACTATTGCTTCGGATTCAGAATGACGTAAGATCATGAAGGATCCACGATAACGTCAAATAGCTGTGCCGAGTCCAGTGTGGTCGTCTGGATGTTCGATGCGTGTACAGCATAGACCGAACAGGCAGTCTGCTGGTAGCCGTTGTTGATAGTTATTAGCTTGGTGCTAATACCTCCTACTGCTCTTGAATGCGTTGCTGCGAAACGACAGGCTGATCTGTTCCCCTAAACTCCTAAGCACAATTGCCGCCAATTTGTATGCAGGAAGGTAGGTAGCAGAAAGGTCGCACTCTTCACATGTGTGGTGGCGGTGCGTAAAAAACTCATTGTAAACTCCCAGACACCCCTAGTCCAATCTAATCGATCGTGAGGCCTCATAGCAAGGTGCACTTTCATCAGACGGTAAAAGGTAGTCTCGCTTCGAGTCCCACTCGCCCGTGCGACGAGTCGACTACTTGCTTTATCAGAAATCAATCAATATAGAGATCAGCCGATGCCGACTTCCTAAGGCCCTGGCAAATGTTGTCCACACTTTTTCAGTCATCGATCAATACATGGCGCTTCGTTCACCAATATTTCCACCAAGCAACTGGTAGTGGGAGCTGAGAAGCTCCAACCAAGGCCAAGTAATGGCCTTCATTCCTCTTGACCATGTCGTCGGTTGGATTCCCTTCCCCTTATTCCATCCACAACCTGAAAAAGGCATAATTATAGACGTCGCGGAAGTTGGTGTGCTGGCATGCGCAACACATGGCCCAGCAATCGGAACCTGGTGCGTGATATAGTGGTGCTGAGTGGTTCACTAGCTCTTCCTGCACCAAATACGCGACGCCGTACACGCTCACTGCTCACGCGGTGCTCCCACTAGACATGAGCTAAGATGCGAAGGCAGCGATGATCAAAAGTGACTACCCTTTTCTGTCTGTCGACCTGATGGGCCAGGTTTCAAAACCGTATAAGTGGGTTGAACGGACGGCTGCATTGTAAACTCTGCCCATCACGCATATAGTGATGTCGCGTCGGCGCCACAAGTGAAGACTAGCAAAAGCGCCTCGAACTTTTGCTACACAGATCGCGACCTCGTCTTCTGTTCCACAGGCGCTAATATAGCCGTCTGAATACTTGAATTTATGGACTACTTCTAACCGATCCCTACCAAGTCAGCGCGGGAGTAGGTCTCAGTAATCGAGAACATAAACGTTGCATTTCGAGGGTGAAAGGTATAGCCCAAAACGATTGACAGCCAATACTAACCGGTCTAGTGCTGCTTGGCACGTCTGTGAGCTGTCACAGATAAAGCAATATCGGCCGCACACTCCAAGACAAGAAGTCGCTCAGCAGGAAATAGCTCCACACTTTGTAGATCGTGTCCAGCGAACGCTGCTTCCATGGCTTCTTCAATGGCGGAGTTGAAGATAAAAGGTGACATCGGACAATATTGTCTCACTGCTGGAGATGTTGAACGGCGGTGAAAGTTTGCCATAAACCCCCACTATGCCCAAACAGTGCGGGTACAGCGCTCTAATAATGTTTACATATTTATCGATTCACCGAATCCAAGGTACCGTTTATATCGAGGAACACGTCAACGGTGGGTCCCAGATATACATGACGATGCTCCAACAATTGTTACAAAGTGAAGATGTGATCAATTCAGCCCCGACGTCGACGAAATCCGGCTTGCTCCTCACGAATCTGGCTTTCACGAGTGCCAGTCAATCTGTGAACGATGACAGAGGCAAGTAGCTTGAAGGCGATGAAGATCAGATTGATTCCTCTACGATTGCGGCATGCTTAACGTTCCGGTATGTAGTGAGCTGTGTAAGGTAGGGAGTTGTGAAGAGCGAGTCCATATTGTGCGAAGTAAGACTACGTGGCAGACAGTTGTAAGGAAACGTGGAGCTCATGTGAGGGGCCTAGGTACAACGTGATACCGCAGCGAGCGTCAAGTGTGTGAATAGATCGATGTTTCCCGAGCACACTGCGTCAAGACTTCTACAGAGAACCTCGATATGATAAAAGCGAATGTAATAGACCCACTGAAGTTTGAAAACATCGGACGAATTGCCGCGGATGCGATCCGCTATAGCCCGTTGTGAATTGAACGGACCGTTGCTACACTTACAGTGATAAAGATTGTTTTGGTGAGTTTTCACTCTCGTCACTACGGAGAACAAACCCCACGTGTTCCACTGTAACCATGTGTAAAATTTCTCATCTTAGTCATGGCTCGTCCACATGGTTACAAATATCTTGGTGTATGCGCGTTCGGGTTACAGCAAAAACGACAACTCCCGCACTCCTAGGGTGCTTGCAGCATTCGTGTATCACTGCACACCCAGAAAACTATTACTACTGCCAGTCATATGCATATTGCATCAGTATTACTCACTACCGACGCTTCGCTGCCGCGTAACTACCACCAGTCGCACTTGGGCTAAAGATACTGCGAGGGGTGCCCAATCCCCTACGCTAGTTCGAACTCGCGCCCTCGGATTACAGGAGACGCTTATCATCCCTAAGACTACGGACCACGTTGTGATCGCAGCTTGTGCGGCCAGATAATAGCACGAAGACTTAGCCATACGAATTTTGATTAGTTCATCGATATGAACGTGTGTGGAATCACACCAGTCTGATTAGGAGATTGTGTTCACTCTCACCGTGAACTAACTACCCTTCCGCACTTCGAACAAAAACATCCGATGCACAATCGCTACCGATGCGCCCAATTGGAAACAAAATAAGCATAATCAGGATGGTAATGCAAGTGTGGAAAAAGTCTGCCGAGTAACCTGAGCTACGTGTGAAATAGTTGGTAGCATTTGTGCTATGCGGCTAAGCCAGGCAACAAGCTGCTTATGATTTCACCTGCTATGCCATACTAACTAGACATCTTGGCGCTACACATGGTAAAAAGATAAGCACTTAACATTCCCCCAGTGGTCTAGGAATTTGAGAATATTCGTGGCCAGTGATGTGGATGGTGAGTTGCTCAGCGAAGTGGGTGCTTTGTTTGCAAACGTTTCGTCACCAAGTTAGGGAACGCCAACAGTGCTGTTTCCGAGGAAATTGTCCGGTCTAGCGATGAAACGTCCGCAAACAAGCAGCTCAGCTACAAGGAAACAAAACTAGCATCGAGGTATCCTTACACAGAATATGTAGGCGCTGACTAAAGTCCTGAGAGTCCCGTGGGGAAGCACATGCCTTATCAAGCATTCATCGTAATAATTTCCAAGTCAGATAGCGTTTCACACGTCCCAAAAAGCACCAGACAACCATTGCATCCTACCAGGAGCCGTCTGTCGTTTGTTTTTCTCGGCTCTATTGAAGGTGCACAACATTGATGACTCCCCATAGGACGAAACGGCCATCTGGTGCCTTTCCAGATGTATGAAAAACTATCCTACTCAGAAACTATGATGGTGGGATTAAGTCAAAAATCCCATACCACGAGTACCTCTAGATTAGGGCCTATCGGAAGCCCAAGTCGAGTTATCACATCAGTTAGTGTTCCCCGCTCTTGAGGCCGGCAGCACCCGCGTATCCGGTAATAACAATGGGCAATATATGGCAGTATGATTCAAATATGCGGAGAGCTACGTCACACAAACACCCCTTTTTCGACAAATGTATTGAGGTTGCTTAGTATATGAGACTGAGTGATAAGCGAAAGGGTTGTTTTATATTTTGTCATCGAAGCGAGGCTGATACAAGGTGACAATATGTCTCTAATAGGTGTAAAATGCACATCTGTACAAAAAGAACAATGTTGTCGTGTCCACGAGCTACAATGCTGGCGAGCGTACAATCACCGGAGTGGGCAAAGCACCACAGGGGAGGCGATCCAAATGGTTCTTTTGGTCGCATACCCATGCCTCGTAGGCACGCGCGATCGCGTCACGTATGGTATGGTTACGTTGAATTACGCGCCACCTGTCTTTTAGGTCCACTTGACTGCGTCCACTACGTTTGAACGATTGGTGCCATATGTCAGCCCAGCGGTTGCCTTTGTGTGTTGTCACTCCATGCCACAAAGCGATGGATTCCTCCACTGACCAAGGTACACGTTTCTGTCCAGGTGGAACACTGTCTAGCCGAAAGACTTCCTTCATTTGAGTTGCTGAAGAAAAACAGTGTGTGGAAAAGAGGGACATCGGAGAGAAATTTGTAACAGGGTAGTTATGTGATCCCTCCACGAAAAGACAGGAAACGTAATATCGGCTTCTGATATGCGCAATGTATACTTTGTAGACAGGAGAGCATTGTATCTGAATATAAAAACAAAGTTACTTGTTCATCTCATCAAGATTGGAACATAAAAGAGTTGATATCTCGTGTCTACGTGTCCGTTAATGTAGCAAAACGGTGGCTAACTGTCGAAGCTAGTTAGAAATTCGATGTCAGCAGTCATTCAGTCTGGTTACGAAGCGCCGCGAGTCAAGCTGCCATGTCGATACGCCTATAAATGATAAAACGCACGCAGGAAAAAATGACAGGAAATGGGTTGGAAAAGATCATTACAATCGCCGGATTGGAGGATCAGCAGAAACTGTATAGCAGCAGTTCTCCATTCAGGCACGGTATTGGTTGGACGTTATGTTGTGCCGAACGTATCAGATCGCACAAAAGCTGGTGACAACAACAGACCCCAAGTTCAAAGTGAGAGTCTTCATTCTGTCGACCAAGTCGCCGCTCGGTCTCCGCTCCACTTCTTCCATCCACACCAACTGCGCTCAAGCAACGCACGTCACGAAGGAGTAGGTGTGCTGGCATGCGCAACACATGGCCCAGCAATCAGAGACTGGACGCGACATACGGGTGCTGAACGGTTCACTCGCTTTTTCTGCGCCAAATACGCGACGCTGTACACGCTCACTGCTCACGCGGTGCTCTCACCAGACATGAGCTAAGCTGCGAAGGCAGTGATGGTCGAACGTAATTGGTCTCTCTATGTCTGTCGATCTAATGTACAAGGACTCGCGATCGTACGAGATGATTGAACTAATGGCTGCCCTTCAGGGCGAGAGCCATGTCGCGTCAGCACCACAAGTGAAGACTAGCAAAAGCGCATCGAACTTTTGCTATACAGATCGTGACCTCGTCTTCTGTTCCATAGGCGCTAATATAGCCGCCAGAATACTTGAATTTTTGGACTACTTCTAATTGATCCCTATCAAGAGTCAGCGCAGGGGTGGGTCTCTGTAACCATGGAGAAAAGCGTTGCATTTCGAGGATGTAGAGCATAGCCCAAAACGATTGACAGCCAGTGCCGCTTGGCACGTCTGTGAGCTGTCACAAATGAAGGCAATGTAGTCGGCCTACTTCAAGTCAGGAATGCGATCATCAGGGAGCAACTTTACACCTAAGTCGTGTCAATGAATGCCATTTTCATGACTTCAGAAATGAGGAAGTTAGAGTGATAAGGTGACATCGAGCAATCTTTCTCAAACCCCTGGAGATATTGAAGCGCAGCGAGTTTGCCATAAGCTATGCGCGTACAGCGCCCGGATAACATTTAGATGTTTCTCCGGCACATCTTTCCTCAACAAACAGTCTCAAAGAGCGCATTGATCCATCGGATCGAAGACACCTTTTATGTCAAGAAACACGACCACGGTAGGTCGCTAATAGATATGACTGTGCTCCAACAACACGCAAATTAAAGATGTGGTCGACGCAGCCCCGATGTCGACGAAACCCGGCTTGCTCCTCCCGAATCTGACTTTCATAACTGCAATTAGTCTGTGAAGAACGACAGACGCAGGCAATTTAGAGACAATTGAGATCAGACTGATTCCTCTATGACTGCCGCATTCCGAACGTGAATCCCGTTTGAAATTTGGGACTATGACAAAGCGACTCCAGTCTGCTGGAACAGTCTATTGCTCCCATAGGTTCACTAGTAGGTTGTCCAAATCATCTACAGGAGCAGATTTCCCGAATTTGGAAAGCTCTTGAGGAATTCCATCTGCTCCTGTGACGTTATTCAATTTCGAAGGCCTGATGTCACGTTCGACTTCTGCGCGTGAGGGCGGAAACCAATGACCGATAAGGAAGATGGCAACTCTCGTTGATTAAACTGCCTTTTGTAGTATTCGGCCCAACGATCTAAGCGTTTTGACAAGCTGTGGATGGCTATCTACTATCGCCCTGTATGGTCTCGCTAATACCAGGTCTCAGTATGCCCGATTCGCATATCATCGGCTGTCTCCATCTCCGGTGACGATGAGACCACCAGGCTTCGCGGTTTCTCTTCAGGCTAACACGGTTTCGCCCTGAGGTTTTTGCGTATATCACTATTCATTTCCAGCCGGAATGTATCGGTTAGCATTTGTAAGTTTTAGAGACTGTGTAGAGCCGTAATACCCAGGTTGGCGATTTGATTTGCCACATGATTACATGCCTACTGCTAAAATAACATATGGTGGATATGCGACCAGTAATCTTCGGCTGCGTTCAGTGAGCGCATACTTTATCCGCGTTCCAGCGTACTTTGATACGTGTCCAGAACATCTAGCTTAGACAGCTGGCAAGCATCTATAGGGTCACAGCGTCGCCGCATGCCCTTACTCAGGTCGGATGCCAGTGTACTTTAGTACGTATGTAGAACATCTGGTTTCGCCAGTTGGCAAGTAGCCATGCCTTCACGGTGTCACTGTGGACATTCGTCAAAACGCATCCATAGGTCGGAGTCCATGCTCTTGCTCTAAATTGAGTGGCAGTTTTAGACGTAACTGATCGCGATGTGATCGATTTGCGTCCATGGCTAGACCGAGGCTGGTAGGCGCCATGTTGGTCTTCTGCGGGTGCTGTGTCGAAAGTCAGTGCTCGCGAGAAATAGACGAGCATCTTTACATAGGTGCAGCAGCAACTAACCGTTATCATTACGAGAATTTACACCGTGTTGATCGTCCAGATGCAACACACTAGTACAGCCCAACCTGCCTATGGCAACCAGCCAAAAGCACCCCCAAAGTTTTCTCCTATGAGTAATCTCCCTATGCATGAACCTGTCTATGGCGACCACCTGTCCAAGACGACCGCATTGTGTGGTCGCCTTAGACAGGTTTGACTGTAGATAGTTATCCAAGTTGGTCGTTCAGATCACCAACCAGCACCACAGTATCCTTATCCTTTCTGTAACGAAGATCTTTAAGTTGATGATAGGAATCATCTTCCACCGAATCAGTGTTGTTTTGCGCGAGAATCGTGTTCTTTAGGACTGAGCAAAGACAACAAAGCGCAGTGGAGAAAAGGTAGTGAACATTCTGAAACCATGCTTTGAAGGGTAACTTGATCAAAAATAACCAACTCACCAGCCGCCTAACGACGGATGAGTTGTATACTGCCATCGTGGGTACGATCACATATTTCGTGAGCCAAAGGTGAATACGAAATATATTTTGCAGGAGATGCTGACTAACAGGTAGAGAGGTAGACTCAGTCGTTATCAGTTATCATGAAAATTGTTGAAACGGAACGAATAGAACCGACTGGGTGTGAAATGGGACGATAAGATGGACAACACCACAGTAGATCAGTCTTTTTATACACACCTGGCGCAGGGGATGGGGGAGGTGTGGCTACGGTGCCAACAAACTTGGTGAAGTATTCTTTGGGGACCAGAGATTTCTGTGTAGCCCGAGTGGGACGTCCAGCGGAGATAGTGGAGTCGGAAAAACGGCAATGAGCTGAAGCAGCTGGGAGGTGGAAGAAGGATTCATGAAAGCAAGGGGTATTGTGATAAATGTCTACGGGCAACTGAAGCAGGTAGCAAAAGCAGTGGCCTGGCGTAGTAGTACTCGGTTCAGGGGAAGAAAAGGAAAAAAGCAAAATGATGCGGTAAAGCAGGTGAGTCACATGTTCAGGAAATGCTGACGGATTTCAACAAAAATGTAAGCCTCTGTAAAAAAAACTGATTAGACGATTCAGATGCCCGGCCATCGCTAAAGGTACTGTGAAGTCGGTCAATGCTTTATTCGATTAACAGGTCCTGTGCACAAAAATGACTTCGCGCAAAATGTAACTGGCTACTAGAGCGCTGATAGGAACAAGTAAGCAGATGGGTTGTGGTGTCCTGAAGATCAAGCGTCCATGCAATAAAAGTCAGGATGGTCGGTGTACATTAGTACCTAGAGTCTGTTCAATGGAGATGCCGTACGAGTGGACTGAGTGAAAAAATAGATCATGATGTCGACAAAGTGGAATGTACACTGGGGCAATGGAAGACGGTGGAGTGAACGTCACGGTGTGTTAGAGAAGTCCCATCAGTGTCCCGGATGCCGTTGCCAGGTATGTGCTCAAGGGGCGTCTAACGCGTTAAACAAACAAGCCGTAGGCCAAAGCAGTAAATTGACACGGCACTGAAATGTTGACTTGAATGAAGTGAAGGGCAGAACCGCTAGCACTAAACAAAGCTCTACAGGCGATCGACGAATGCGGTGGACGAAGAAAGATGGAAATCGATAAAATCCGAACGTCCTAAGCACCTTGGCGGGGAAATGTCCATGAGCTCCAAGTGAGATACGGGTGTGGTACCTACTTGACGAATAATTGGATGGTGTCCGAACTGATGCTCTTCAGTAGAATAAAGGAAACGGTGTAACTAAGACAACCTGTTCATCGCAGGCTACAATGGATGCTGATGAAACAAGAACCTGGAGATCCAATTAAATAAAGGTGGGTGTCGTAGAGTAGAAACTAATCCAGAACCGGTGCCAGGACTGCGGAAGTTCCTGGAAAAGATAGCTTAAGTGAGGCATTGCAGGGCAAGTGCTGCAACCGAATTGACTGGTTTTGATCCAGGGTCTGGTTCTGGAGCTACCGGAGACCAGAATTTACTGTGGAGACCTAGAGCTTTAGCATAGTAACGTTTCGCACGGATGCTTTTCTTTTATGCGGCCTTTGGACAGAAGGCATGTGGAAACTACGGTGAGCAGCCGTAATGCGTTGCGTCCCAAATACAGTCACAAACCGGTGACCAACAACTAAAGAAGAAGCGGCATGGGTGAAATCAATTCAACAACCGCCCATGTTTCTGTTTCACGCCAACAAATATTCCAGAGCTAGCTATTAAACTAGTGAGTCAGTGAGTATACTCAATTGGCTACAGTGAGAGTGAAATATCGTTCTAAAAATCACCAAATAACTTGATCTATTAGTGCCTTATACCTGAAATAAAGGAAATAAACAATGAAGACAACTTCATCTACCTTAAGATTAATGAATAGCCACAAAAGGTCTCATGAAACAGATTGATGCGATACCACTTACAGTGTCGAAATCGATCGAGCTGATGACTTCTTCCATTTCATTGGCAGCAGCCACGCCATTGAAGACGCAATGTCACGACTACAATGTAAGTCGATGGCTATACGCATTGCTGGTACCCATATGCTATTCATAGAATTCAGATAAACGCCGCCACCGTGTGCTGTGAGATTCCTCACGATATAGTCGCCCAACGAGTCACTAAGCTCATCCCAGCCCGAAAATCAGCTATCGACCTACTAATGGCGCACGCTATTAAGCGCCTGCACGTACTACTACCACTACTAGATGACTCGTACATCCCAATGACCGACAGAGTGATAGTGCCGAAGTCTTCCAGATCGGCTACTCTTCGCTAGTTTTGAAATAGCTGCTTAGGAGATGATCGGGTGAAAGCGATCGCGTCCGTCTATGTTTCTATTGGTCCACCATAGGCCCAGATTGGGAGCGCATCTAGCCACTTTTCTAAATATCAAAATGCTAGGGAACTTATCAAGTGCAAAATCCAGTCGCTTAAACAACAGCTGAGTGTTCTGGTTACTCGGGCTCCTTTGGCTCTAACGATAGGATACCGTACTTCAACTGGATCAGTTCATTCAAATAGTTGAATGTAACGTGGCACAATCACAAGTTCCACGGTTGATCACCGCTGAGCTCTGGAGTACTCGCCGTATGTTGGGATTATAACACGCAAAGTCCACTGGGAACTCCGCTCTATCTATGTAGACCTCGGTAACTCCAATCATTGGGATCCTATCCGCAATCTTATGCTGGGTATACTAAAAATCAGTACCCGGGATAATGTAAAAACATCAAGGAAAACCAGTTATTTCAGCAATTAATCGATTAACTTCGATTGTGCATTGATTTCGAAGATTCTGGAATCTTCCATTCCTTCATGTGACCGCCAACATACGGGGGTTTGGCAAGGAAGCTACTAATTTTAACAGCTGACCCCGTTTTCTAGAAACCAAAGGCCATTAAGCGATCTATAAATTTGGCGAAGGTCTGGGGCAGTTGTACAGCGTTTTGGCGGTGTTTGGTTAACACCTTTTCTCGGTCAAGGTCATTGGACTTGGTTTTGCTTTGGCTGGGTTAAAAGTCTTGCGGAGAATGTTGGGTGTTCATTTCGGAATAGCAAGAAATTTTGCAAGACTTAATAATCAGCATAAAATTCTTAACCGTCGTACCAAGCACTGCTCGAGCATTTCAGTGGCTTAGTGAACAAAGCGTCGGCCGTTAACTACCACATTTGGGGTTCCGGTCCCAGAGCGGCTCGTTCTGTCTGATAAGGTCAAACAAGGGTGAAACCGGTAGAAATGTGTACTGCTGGGCGCGAGCAACACCGGAAGCTATCCACGTTGTTATGCTGGATTGAAATACGTCATCAAAGGCCGCCAGGTGTACGCGTGTCCAATGATGAATCTCTGTCCACGCGGCGAAACCTGCCACAGGTTATGGTTCTCCAATTTCATCGAGGTTTAACCGCCAAATAACACGCTTCTAAGGCCACGCTGTTTGTTCACAGGACAACCCACAACCAGAGATTCTTGAGTTTACCTTTGAAAGGATATTACGAGCCTCTGGAGATGTACACGGTTTCTAGTGCCATGCGAATACGTCGGCCAATAAGCAGATCGCTGTATACAGTTTTCTGCTAGACACAACTACTCTGTGTCAGCGAATGTTGCTAAGGTCCCAACTCCGATGAGGATGCAGATATGAGTAGTCCAACTCGGCAATGAACGTATGACGCTAAGCGCCACGCGAAACCGTCGCGCATGAATCTCAGGTTACATGTACACATCAGCCAATTACTAAAAGTCCCCAAAGAAACTGGTCGCAGCCCATCGACTGTCGGGTGAATGTTGACCACCCATACGAAAATTTTCCCGAATGAATTCGTTGATTGCCAGCCGTCACTCTGATATTTCCGGATCAGGTTTAAATCAAGCATATGTGTCATCAACAGATTCGGGAAGTCATCGTAGTTGGAAGGGCGTAAGGTCGTTTCGTTCTATTGGGAGACATATTAGAGCTAGTCTCTATCTCTTGAAATAACCCAAGCTTCTTGCTACTAGACAACTTGTTCATCCGGGGAAAAAGATGTCTAGCCAACGGGGACCAGTAGTATCAAACGAAGTAGTTGATGCGCCTGCGTCCATAAAGTAAACAGTGTTCGGGTCGCCCCCCCTTCGGATTTCACAGAGTGAAGTATGCCCTTCCGTAGCGAGTGGACTATAACGAATATTCATATCGACTGATTCCAGTGAAGATTGGCTGAGGTGCAGAATTCTAGTAATGCCTGAGGAAAACTGCATTGACACCGAGGCAGTGGAAGTTTAGTGGCAATCTAGAAAACAGCACAGTTTAGGTGATGAGGTCCTTTCCGTAAGACATCGAAGATGTGCTCACCAAGTAGATTAATATTCGCATCGAGTATCGCAGACATGGTCCACAAAAGTACATCGACAGCGACATTGACTATGGTCCTCATCACAAGCCACTCGGAGAAACTGTCAGGCTGACGTATGGAGATTAGTCGACGATGAAGCTCGTTGTTCTTCGTAATAAAACCAAAAGTTGTAGAAATGTGAGCAACAACAATGGCAGACTCTTGCTGGGATTACTCGACTTTAACGAGATAAGCAAGTTAACAGGGAATCAGTCAGCTGGTGCCAAACCTGCTGACACGTACATGTGCTAAAGAATATTGAGAACCGGGCGAAAGCAAAATAAGCTCGGAGAGAGCGTCACTTTGAATAGAGATGCCGACTAGATGAGCCTGGAAGGGAGTATTGGCTTGGCATAGGCTAACGACCAGTGACCGAAAGGATGAGGCGTCTGTCTTACAGTCCGGAGGTAGCGGGTTCGAACCTGCGTAGGAAACCGGGCAACCGTGGCAGAATCATTAGCCTACACGCGACTAGTAGTGGTTGCGTGGCAGCGGAGTTTCGGTACTGCGTACCGGCGTACTGCTGATGCCATCATTTCATGACATCACACGCATCATTATTTGGAGGAATAGATGCGTTACGCTGCAATGTGCACGCTGTATCGCGAGGGGGCTGCTAAGCATAGTTACTAGGCAACAGGACGCTGGTGAACTGCCTGGCGCAAGCAGTTTCTGTCTTCATCGAAAGGTTTTCAGAGTGGCCGTCATGTGTCTGGATTGTGACACGAGTGGCACAGAAGTCTCCCAGACTAGTGGCTATCTGCTACAGGCATCTGACTTGTGACCCAAACTGGTGCGGGCCACTTCCCAGTATTCGTAGCCCCTGGTGGTGGTGATCGCGTGACAGTAAAGCGTCGGTATGACATACCGATGAAATGCCAATGCCCTTGCTCACCTTCCCAGTAGCAGAGTTAATGAGATGATGATTGGTGCGGGCAGCCTCCTTCAGAAGCAGATTACATAGTTACGTCTCCAATAAATGTGATCATATGCATCGAGTGCTTCACAACATTCAGTGACCGATTTGCGCAACCTAACTGGGACTGGTTGAAAATACGTGGGTGTTAAGTTACGATGGAAAATGAGGGGAATTGACAGGGTTGTGTTGCCCCTCTCGTACTCCCATGAGAACCCGAAAAAGTCGAACTGCTTGTGATTGGGAGCAGTTTAAAATGAGGTTCAGAAGCGGACTGAGTACGATAAATGTTTAAAATGAGCTGCCGCATGCCACCTAGCTTATCCATGGCAGAGTTGCAAGCAAGCCACTCATGATGTCAGCTGGATGGTTCGGGATCATCCCATTCCAGCAAGTCGTTTGGCGGCAGTGTTTCAGGACGCCGTTGGTTTTCGCCTGACAAGCGTCCTCCCTACAAAAAGCCACAAATATGTGTTTAACAACATTGCGACGTTGTGGAGGTGACTCGCCAATGAATAAAGTTACTGCATTTTGTCTCACTCCGGTGCAACATTGTATTCTAACAGATGGATGGATTAGGGAGAAGACTGGGTCCCTGTTTGGTAACTTACCAAAGGAAAAACGTGTGAACCGTGAAATCAGTCACCGGCTCCCAATGAGCGCGATTCCGTGAATTCGCGCCCGCTGCCTTGTGGGTAGGCTATCCAGCCAAAAGTTCAGGGTGCTGTTCATTAAGTCAACTCTCTACTTCGATCGAGGAAACCGGGTCCTAGCATTCCCTATGAAAAACCATGGACCGTTAAAAAACCGGTGTTCCGTTTTCGTTTTGTTACAATTGTACCAATAGGTGTATATAATTAGAATGGGGAACACATGTCCCCAAAAGATCGCGTAAGAGAGACAACGCAAAACTGACATTCACAGATGCTCCAACCAGTGTCCGCATTAACAAGAATTAACTTTTCTCCGACAAGCCTTCACTGCTACAAATATTCATGTTTCCACTTACATTGAGCCAATTCACTTGCTTACGCTTCGCCTCTTGATCTAGCATACGCGGACTGTTCTATGTAAGAAAACACATACGCCACTAGCGTTGGTGTATAAATGAGGCTGGGCAACACTGTATTCGCCCTTTGCTGTGTCAGTAAAAGCGCCTGCTGTGAAAAACTTGTTTTGATTCTCTCTCTCCGGGTCGTGTAGACGCATGTGGGATCCGCGTTCGTGCTAGCCTCTCGATTCAGCTCGCACGTAGAAAATGTTTGGCGACTAAGTCTTACAAGTCATAGTAAAATGAATAGTCGGTTATTTATCCGCAATTTCGACCAGGTGTCGTTACGACCAGAATGTTATAACAATAATATGCATATATTATGCATGATTATATTCCCCATATGGCGCATGGTGTGAAATTAGAAAAATGTGAGTGGGTTGTGTGTGGAATATGATTCAAAATGATAAAAAGTATCTGCTATTATTACCCAAAGTCGGTTGAATGCAACACATACCTCGCGTCTTAGGAGTATCAAAAACTGTCGTAATCTCTTCAGATGAATCCATATCCACTCCCAGACAGGGCCGCCGCTTGAGCCTCGCGGGTTTGCTTGGAGAAGACAAATCGGCTGTAAAAGGGAAATATGCGGTGTACCATTGTAGAGACTGCATAAAGCAGGTTAGCCAATGAAAAACAGCGAGTATCCAGGAGCTACCAGATGGCACATCTGGTGGTGACCAAAGCTGGGCTCATTTGGTTGACAGTGTGGGGAACAAGATCCCATGCAACAATATAAGTTCCTCATCAAAGTACTGATGTTAGAAAAACACATGTTGGTTCTATGCCCCAGCACCTGAGCTGAACTGCTTGTTCAACCAGATAGAATACATTTGCGTTGCGGCTTTGAGTAATGGAGCGCAGACAATGATCACAGTAAACATCAGATAGATGATTGTGGTAGACAACAGCTGTCCCCCACTTCAGATACCGACGAAATCACATTTTCAAATGAGGATATTAATCGTTGGTTTAAATACTCAATCCAACTTTGATGATCTCCCTGCCTTAATACAGATCGCGTGATTGCGGATAAGAGTTATGGTGAGTGGGTCTAACAAGGCACGCATTTTGAGGTCAATAAATAATGCCCTAAGCGTGTCGGGACGTAAGAAACTGACCGAGGTTGACGAAATGCGACAGCGCGCTTAGTCGAAACGAGGGGCCGGAATCGACAAACATGCTTTAAAAACAGTCTTAAAACATGACTACGGCGACACAATTGAACACGAAAGTACGACCCGAGATCGTCGGGGTCCACCCAATGTGCAATAACGATGCTCCGTCGAACTCGAAACGTGTACGGATGTCTATCGGTGGACGTGCCGCACCGAACTCGGTTGCAATTACAGACAGTAGTAATTTCATACAAGATATACAAAGTACCGATTGCTGGCAAATAGTGGGAGGGCAGCCGCGCCCCCAGTCAGAAAGTACATTTACGGAGTTGTAAGTTAAAACGGGGGTCGCAAGCGACGGACGATTTCCGAAGCACACATCCGTGATCAATAATGATTATCAGGCTCAGAAAAGTAGACAATGATCGAAGTTCGAATTCGATACTGCACTGTAGAAAGAATATTTGGCCAGCCGTTAAGCGAAATAATAATTGATGACCAACGGAGTGACTTGTATGTTGGACAAGCGAGTTTTACCAAATCAAGTGATGGAACAAAGGTATGCAAACACCGAGTGTGTAACACGTGTTATAAGTGCTGCACAGATACTTACACGATCGTTTCCTCTTCAAAACTGGTCGTTTGTCTTCAGACTGGATGTCCCCGCCGGGATTAGTGCAAAGGTCAAACAGGCAACGTAGCTCAGCGAGATGACCCTTCAGCTGTACGATGAAAGTCCGCATAGTTGCATCAATAATCTCACATTCATTGGTAGACTGCTTGGAAGCCAGACTCTTCTTCGGTGAGCATAAAAAGGTAACACGAAGAAGCAATTTGAGAGGATGGAGATAGGAAACGAAAATTAGTCGATCAAAATTAATAAGTTGTTAGAAGCGGTTACACAATTGGGTTAACCAGAGGTGGAATCGGATTTGATTACATCGTGGTCCCATACCAAACTGAAAGTAAACGAGAATAGGAAACGCGACTGGACACTGCACAAAACCTCCGAGCGCTGTTCCAAATTGGAACGATAGCCGTTAACGTAGAAATAATTGAAAATGTCGAGGTTGGCTAAATGCTTCTACGAACACATGAGTATTACTGCAAAAGAATATCTTCGATAGAAATACAATGTGCGTCAGTTTGGTGTTACGAAAAGTTGACCCGGAACTGCGTATAAGTAATCCGGAGCTTTAAGTGCTTGGGACGAAACTCAAACGCTAAAGGCTAAAATTCCTGTCCTACCATATCAAAGATGAGCTATCACCGCCGAAGTCGGAATTCACTCATAAATACAAAATGCAGTAATATGGTGGTGTGTTGCTCGGATCGATGATATCAGTCCCGTTAAAAATCACAGGAACTAAAACATATTGTTGAGCGTTCCTCTGTCTGTGCGATCAGTTGACCCGACCTCGTTCGCGTTCTCGCAAACTCCAAGTGCAGTCAAAATCAAAAGTCAACACCCTGTAGAAAAAACGTCTTGGAGAGCAGCTACCGGAACGGGCATAAGTAGTGTGAGGAACAACGGATATTTAGAGATCAGTCCATGAATGTTCGATTCTGGAAAAGGTTGAGTCAACTGCCAATGCTGTCAGTCTAGATCCGCTAGACCAACGTGTAGGGGAGCGCAGGTCACGTGATGCTTACATGTTCCCGAAACGATCTGATGGTTCGCCTGTGCACATTGGTTCAAGTTGTTTTCCTATTGGAACAATGAGTTTTCCCCGAGAGGTTTTACCCTCACCTTGACAAGCACATACAAAGATCCAATTCACGGTCACGTCAAGCTATGTAGGTCACAAGCGTGTCCAAGGTTGTCTGATAGGAGGTTAAAAAATGTTTAGGGATTCACAAAATGAAAACCACCATTCTAGTAATAAAGTAAAACACCAGTATAACGAAATTCTGGGGACCTCCAAAATTAACTTTTCGTGGTGAAATTTTGTTACACTGAAATGTCAATTCTCAAGAACTCACCTGTTGCTATATCCACTGCAGGGTCTACATTAGTTCAGCATGAATTTATGGGCAAAAAAGCTTAATATTTAATAGATTACGACGAAAATGCGCATATATATACATGAAATGAAATGATTTACCGTAACTGCATAAGGTATTTTTGTACATTTTCATCACAAATGTTTACATTGTACACAATGTTCTGGACGGGAATTTTAGGAAAAAGTCTGATTTGCTTCTGAACCAAACACAAAACACCGTGCAAGATAGTCTCGAACCACCGCACATGAATTTAACACAGATTCTGGCACATCGCTTCGTGACAGAAGAAAACCTTGGAGGCTATGTGCCGTGTTCGTTACCCGCACAAAAGTCAAACTCTTCCGATCGCTTTGAGGCGCCTCTTGCTCTTCCACCTCATCATCAAAATTATTTTATCACTCATAATGTCTGCTAAAATTGCAGTATGTTTTTGCACTACCATATCAGAGTCCACACTGACGTAGTCAGAAAGTTTCACGATAGCCTACTATAACCGTGTATTATGAAACTAAAACCATCAGTTTTGCAGTATGTATCCATGAAAAATACTGCATTCAAAACTGTTTTCAGATCATTCAGTATCCCCTTGCTACATGACGTCAAGTACGCTGACGTACGCAACGAACAAGCCCTAATTCAGTCCTTTCGTGAAAAGTGAGGAACTCGGTCCCAAGTTTCTCCATTTAATCGCATATGATTTTTTGGTCTCCTTCGCCGCTCAAATTTGTATTTCTCGAGCATTTTACTCAGATTTCTGTTATACGTCATCATCTATGTTTGACCGCGAATATTTACGTGTCAATACGTTGCCATTCTACATAAATGTCACCTCAGAACATGTCTTCGAACGGTTGCTGACCTAGCAACTGTCAACGATTTCATCCGTGGAAATATATTAGAGTCATTTTCTCTGTGGATATTTATTTTCTACATTATCTGACTATTGGCCAACTAGATAACAAATCACTATATTTTTATCCCATTTCCCCTTATAGATGTTCCATTGGACCTCAGTCAGCAAATAAGTTCCCGCCAAAATATGACGCCAGCTCATCCCTCGTATTCAAAATGTGGGTTGATTGGGACGATCTCAGTGACCTTGGAAATATTTTGTACACATGTTCTATCAGAGTGTACTTGCAAATTGAAATATATGCAGATAACGCAAAAAGATATTCGATGGAAAATGCAATGACCGATTTAAAAGCCGCGCCGAATACCTGGAAACATTAATGATTGAGCATCCTCCTAACATTCGCTGGGATGCTCGACATAAAGGCTCTATGCAGCGGGAGCTCAACTGGAGCGGCGACAAACGACGAGGTCGTTTGGGCAAAAGCCCAAATCAAAATCTTTTCGTGAAGAATTTTCTGAGTAGACATCTCGCAGAATACTTCAAGCCAACAGAGGAAACGAGCGCTTATCGTCATCGTATTTTATAAGTCCAGGTCCCATGAACCACATAAATTAGTGAATTGCACAGTTGTGCGCATAGATGGCCGTTTGAAAAGGGTCTCACGTTTAGATAGTTCACAGCGTAGGTAGTGAGAGCTTTGCACAGAGTAGGAGCAAGTGCAAGCGAGTGCATCGACTCGAAACATATATGTGGCTTCACTGGGGCAAGCTACAAATCTATGAAGCTAGAAAAGGTTTCATCCACGAGGAGAGCACATTGAGGACAAGCATGCACGCTGAGAGCACAGTGCATCCGAGAGATCGATCGGGACGAGCCGGCTGGGGCAAAGTAGTGAGCTCAAGTGTTCCATGTGCCAACTACAGTCGGTTTGGAATCAGAGCATAGTCAAATGCAATGCAGACACCAAAAATAAACTACACACAGTTTAGCATAGATATTCTTCATTTATATCTGGCGATAAGACTCGCGGAAATCAGACGCAAAACGAATAGGGATTCTTATGCACCAGCTATTCGAGGAAACTTGTGAAGAGATTTCGACAGTATTTCAGAAAGTCTTGATTAGTCGCGACAAAAGCTTAGTTCAAGGTGTACCGGAGGAGCCAGATTATCTCCTCCTCTGGTGTTAAGTTAATGGTTAGGTGCGAACTACATGTTAAACAGACATCTTATGTTCTGTTCCCCCCTGCGGTCGACCGTGAAAGTAAGTTCGTAACCTCCTATGATCGGAAAAGATACATGAACTGTCTTAAATCCGTATAGAGAGAAATAAAGAAATGCCCAAGAGGGTCTCCTGTCCGACCCTGAAAAATACCATGGAAGTCTCTGCGGGATCCGTACTCGCTAAACTGACAATGCTTGTCGTTTTCTTCGACACGATGATGACCATAAACCTTATAAATAAATAAATTATGTATTCTCGGACGATGCGAGACAAGCCTATGTAGGCATGATCATGGTAAAGGTACAACTAAGTGTCAGGGAACGTATAAAAAATGGCGCAAGTTAGCCATGAACATTGGACCTGTGAGTTCATACATGTATGTAGGAGTGCATGTGTGTAGCTGTTATTCGAGTTTGAATATGTGCCGCTGCAATTGTGACTGATCGCGTGGATAGTGTGAGAAGGGATAAGTGGCGTCTGTTGTGAGGGTGTGGTTGGCTGGGTAACCATAGAGCTGTGACTTTACTTAGATTGCTGTTTTCAAACAATATACGAAGTTTGCAACTTTTACACTAGGACCACAAATCCATCATTCGTTCTGTTAACACTAGAACGCCCGGAGAGGTTAATTTGACCCCTCAGAGTTGTTAAATATGCATGGTTCGTACATTTGTAAAGGTTTTCCAAAGATTTTTCGTGACTTAATATATTTTAGACGTCCTTCATAATTGTAAAGTTTCACTTCCATATCTGTTATGGTTTTCGAGAAAAGTAGTTACGTTCGTACTACAGAGAAACCCCGTTAGCAGTCAAAATGACCGTTTTCCTCTAATCCGGTTTCTTTTTTTCATTTTTAGCCGCTACTATTATTTCCGACAGAGTTACATGCAATATCAGTCAAAATGGGATTAAAAACTAGACGATTCACGATTTCCCAGTGATATCGTACTGCGATCTGATAAATTTCGGTGCCAGTGATACACAATGGCCGTAGAAGGAAAACAGCTTTTGAGGTTTTACGAGAACTTACAACTATCGATTATAACGAGTCTAAACACGGGAATGAATAGGATGTTGATGAAGAGTTCATTTTCCAGAAGTCGACAAAAGATCACAGCATCCCTGATAGTCAAAGTTCTGACAGTGACACTCCTCATGATGACAGTACTTAGAGTGTATCAGCCGATTCTGCATCTTCCAGTGAAGTTTACATATCGAAAGATGGACCGCAATGGAGTTCCAGACAACTACTGTTGGTAGGATGCTATCACAGAATGTTTTCAACGTTAGACCAGGACCAACTGTTTACGCTAAGAAATGTGTGAAATGTACCATATTTGGATCACTTTTGACATCATAATCACATCCTAGATGCTAAACAGATTCAAGTATGTATTAAAGCTGAGAGCAAGAGTTTTTTAGGGTATCAGTTGTTAGTGGAACATAAGTAAGTATTCCTGTGTTGCGTGCATTTATTGGGCTACTTTACATCAGAGGCTTTGTGAGCTTGAGGAACACGCCATTGGATATGCTGTGGTGTGATAGGTACGGATAGCCTGTTTTCGGGGAAACAATTGACAAGAAGAGATTCAAGAAAATAACGAGGTCTCGCATGCGAACTACGAGAGATGAAAGACTGCAGACTGACAAGTTTGCTTTGACATCAGCGTTCTGGAATGCATTTATTCGCAATTCTAAGCAGTGCTATGGGCCTGCGCAGAACCCCACTGCTGACGAGCAATCGTTTCCCACTAAAACTCGCTGCCGTTTACTTCAGTACATGGCCAACAAACGTGATAAGTTCGCTGACGAGTTTTGAATTTTGGTAGAAGTGAACAGCAAATAGCTCGTGATTAGATTTCCATATCTCGGAAAGGAAAAATCTCGGTCACGAGGGGAAAGGGTTCCAGAGAGCTTGGTATTGAGAGCTTTATGTCACCCTCATTGGGAAAAATATTCTCCAAGTAAGATACAAAAGTAGGGTGGGGAGTATTCGAGTTAATAGAAAGGAAGTGCCAACGATTTTGAAGCAAGGCAGTAGAGAGCTGTTCAGTTCACTTAATATGAATAATAAAAATAAGCACACATTAACATCCTACTGGTGTAAAAGGAATAAAAAGGTTTTGGTTTTCAGTTGTTTGCACAGTAACTCTTCCATACAAGACTCTGGAGAGAAGTCCAAGACCGTATTGTTTTACAACTCCACGAAGTATGGATTAGATTTACTTGACCAAATGGCAAGAGCATTCACTGTCATCATCTCCATAATGGCCAGTACAAGTGTTCTTCAACATGCTGGAAGTGGCTGGCATTAATTCCTGGATAATTTATAATAGTGTCTCCGGAAACAAATTATCCCTCCGGTTGTATCTGATGGGTCTTGCGGAAGAACTGCGTGGATCCATACATCATGCAAGGTAAGTGACAGCTGGACTTACGCCGAACAACTCAACGCAGTTGGAAAGTCGTGAGACAAGTAAACGTCGGCAGATTGGTTACTGCACAGCTAAGTCAAAGTGCGAGTGCTCTGTTTGTGAAATAAGTTGTGGCTATTGTGGACAGATTGAGAGAGTTATCAATTGTTTCAAATCCAAAACTGAGTAAGCAAGTACAATTACTTACAAATTTTGAAAAAAATGGCAGTTCAATATTATTATTTTTCAGTTACAGATGTCCTACACATTTTTATTAAGCATATTAAAATATCTATAAATAAAAGTTAGGATAAAGAAATACAGTAATGTGGTCATTTTGAACGGTCCCGGGCGTTCTAGATATAACTGCGGAGCGGTTTTCCTAGTGTTAAATCAGATTCACTAAAAATGGTCTATCTTTAAAGGTGCCATCATCAAACTCTATTGTACGTTTTTATATTTTCAAACTTTAATATCTGTACCATTTTGTTACGCTTTGATTGCCTCCGATGAGTCGATTATGGCTCACCTACGCTATGTTTGAACTTCAGAGATAGCCGTACGATTTATGTCAGTTTTGACCCGTAGAGTACACCGCTAACAGTAGAAATATCTTTTCAGGAATTCCTATTTTTCTTGGATTTTCTGGCGTTTAGAGGTAAATACCGGTTGTCAAAGGGAGCATCTACGTACAGAGACATGTAGTATCATTCGGTTGCTAGCCATGCGTCCCGTCTAACTGATCAGTATGAAGCATCGATCACGCAAACCGGAGGCTTGCGTGAAGAGTTTCGAAGCAACCGCTCCACTCAGGCGTTTTCGCACTCATATCTCACTCAGGCGAATAGAAAGATTAGTTGGATGCCACATAATTGGAAGAAAAAGAAGGCGAATCGTCTCAATTTGGGGTACTCAGGAAGCCGCTACACATTTACAGTGACCAGGCGAGGAGGACAAATGTGTTTACATTCCAGTCTTGTCGCAAAATTGCATAGTCATGGCGTCGATTACTTACCGAACATCCGGATGAAACCGTGTGTACAACGTCCATGACACCACTGACCTCAAAAGCGCGTTTCCACAACGCGTTGGGTTGACAGCGGCTTAGTTGTGCATCTGGATACATGTTCGAAAGCTCGTCGAATACCGATCGCTGAAGGTGAGAAAAGCACGGTCTTCCAGAGTAGAGCTCAAAGTCATCAGAGAAGAATCTTACCTGTCGCACGGCAAACAGGATGGCTCATCGTGGTCTGAGTTCACCAAAGATGCTGGTGACTGCAAGGTGGCATAAGTTGAAAGGTAACAAAAACGTTACCGTGTGCACCTGTTGTGACGTGGCAACAAGCAATCGTTTGCAAAAGTTGACAGAGTACGTCCTCAGCTTCTCACAATAGTCACTCCAATGAGAAGAGTTGTCGGCAGAAATCGACTGGGAAGTGGAGGAGAATAAAAACAGCTATGCAGAAGTACACCTCATAAGAGCACAATATCAACGATAAGAAGACGTACACTAGCAGAGAATAGGGTGCGAAAGAGGGTAAATCACAAAATTTACCATTGCATAAGCGACATCAGTAGACATGTAACTGATGCTTGTAGTGGGTACACGGGGTAAATGGCAAGAAAGCAGCAGCGCACTACGGTTACAAGCGCATATCGTGTGACGTGACAATCCCGAACGACAACCGCAAATGTCAATGTGTATTTGTAAGGCCATATTGGAACAAAAGTCAAGGATAACAAAAGAAATGAATCACGAAGCCAATCAGCAAGAAGTGTTGAACTAACAAATTACGAACATCAATCCTATCCCCTTCAGACGGTGCAAAACAACAACTGTCGACTATGATGAAACGTATTCGAGATAATCCACGTAAAGCTGGATGTGCGTTTGCGTATGGATTACGATCGGAGGGATGGCAACAGAACATGTAGCACAAAGTCACAAGCAACATAAGCAATTCGGGGGCGAGCAAGTGCAGCTCAGAGAGAGGTGTGGATGACCGTGGGAAACGTAATCGAGACGACAAATGAATACGCCAGTTAGAGTAAAAAGCCAGCATAGTGTGTAGCGAGGCTCAAGTATTGAGGTAGACGTTGCAGGTTAAATGTGCACTAAGCTTGTCACTTACGTATGCATCCCCCAAGGACGCGTATTCCCTGGCCGTTTGGAATCCACAGTTTATAACTAGGTGCAGGAGTGAAAACAGTTGGCAGACTGAATGACGAAAGAAAATATGGAATTCCGTGAGTGGCTTCCTTGAAAAATGAAAAACTATGCACTCGGAAACTTCAAGCTGATGAATCCAATGTTGCGTGCCTCACTGCGCAGGTTTCGGGAACGTAGGACCACACCTGTGTGTCAGACTATGCATAGGTCGATCTGGTCTCTTTTTATCGGAAAACCCGCAATTTACCACATGGGTTCAGTCGCAATTTCAAATAACATCCAATTATCAACCACACAGACGTTGCAAACTAGGGACAACTTGCAGCCACAATGATAAACTAAAGCATAATAAGTGAACACAGATGAGAGTGTAGGGGAAGACCCGGTATACAATCACTCAGTAACACGTTGGCAGGTCCGTTGCAGATTCGGGGTAGCAGGACTAAGAACATCAACCAGGTTGCATCAGTCCCAACGGCGGCACACCACTACTTCATATGGCACTGGGCTACCATGTAGTCGTATACTATGGGACCGCGGAACATCCGAAATATAAAAGTGAGCGCGAAAAGCACCTAATTTAAGCAATAAATGTTAGCATATGCATTGAGGAACAAAACACCTGGGTCCCGAATGGCTGAAAACGGTCGTCTATTATGGAAAGATGAGGCAGCATTGTAAAATGGATCGTCACCATCAACATCTTCAACAGGTACTCAAGTTAGAAGACAAGTCAAGTATTTCACTGGTGCCCATTCTTAGTTGTATCGTGCATGCTCTCAAGCCAAGAACATGGTGGGTCATGTGCTGAAAAGTGGGACGGACAAGCAACACCCAACCTAGAGGTCAGTGACCTTGGTTCCCATTGCCAAGTACATGATTACACCCCCTAAAACGTACACCGTCCTACACCGAGTAAATAAAGCAAATCTCCCACAGATAAGCGGTGAGCGGACATGCAGGGTACATGTCCAAAAAAATTTTGCCATACTGATCACTCAAACAACCATGATCGGAGCGCAGATGGAATCCCATCGTTTATGTAATCTCAAGGAGTGACACAAAGGCCCATGTAAGTAAACCGGTAGACCAAATCCAGTATGAGTGGGGTAAGAGACACGGCGGAAAGCCCGGTAGGTTCATTAACAGTGTTCATCAGATTGCGACAGTGTAAGAGATACCGCAGCGAGTGACGGCCTGCGCCAGCCTGTCCAGAACTCATGCACGGACGACTGGTGCCATCGAATAACGGTTACGGTGCTCGCGTAGTCGAAAAGTTTTGCAAGACAAAACTACCACACTACATATGGACGCCACTTTCAACTCAGATGGCAATTAACGCCTACTACTCGACTGCACACATCACTTCCGATGAACCGATGAAAACGAACAAACTGGTCAAGGATAAGGAAAGCGCTTCAGACCTTTAAATTAAGGAAACCGTCACTAAGGTAAAAGAAAACACCCCTCGCTTAGGCTAACTTCAGAGAACAAAGCTGCCGCGAATCCAATGAAGGCAGTTGTAACTTGGGCAATGCCCGGGCAGTCACACCCGTCTTTATAAGGTGGGACCTTCAGATTCGGCTGTTGCTGTTGTGATTGGAATATTGTTCAAAGCCACTCACTGCAGATATTTCCCCACTTGTTTCTCTAACTTATTTTCCATTTTTTAAGTGAACCGATTTAAGGCCAGCGATGTTAAAGTACTGTAATAGACGAGCGATTTATTATTTGAACTGTCTTAACCGCAGTCCCACTTTCGTTTCAGAGCCGCGCTGCTGCAGAAGAACAAGAAGAGGGAGAAGACTGTTAGCCTGGCTACGTGTTGTTTAATACAAGTTCCTGCCTGATCTTTGGATTTCATTCCGCATTGAATACTACAATTTGGCGACCCTGCCTGGGAACAGAACTATACAATGCCGAAACCAGTAAAACACACCGGCGATGTGAATAACTCCGAGGCTAATGACTCTAACGTCAAACTTTCCTTATCTTTGGATTCTCTGCCCAAGGTTTTGGAAAAATTGTCAAGCATGTCGACACCTGCAGCCAAGGTACAACCCATACCTACACCGGAACGTTTTGTTACTGGAATGCCGTATGATCGCTGGGAGAAACAAGTGCAAATGTACATCCGTCATTACTCGGCAAACCAACACGGAAGTGTAATTGCGGGATTGCTATCTGGCGAAGCGTTCGATATTGTCATGGATAGTAATATCCTGGAGAACGAAATTACCAAAGAAACGTTTGCAGCTCTTCGTCCGCTGTTGAGTCATCCAAGCCTTCCAACGGAGCTTCGCAGGCAATTCCATGCTCGTTATCAGCACCCGTGTGAAACCGTTGATGCCTACGTCAGGGAATTACGCAAACTTGTGCGCGTTGCTTATGTAAACGAAACAGTGGAGCAGTGTGAACAGCGGGTATTAGAACAGCTCCTCGAGGGTGTTCAGACGCCTTCTGTCAAAAACGAATTTCTGCTACGCCCCCTGGGAAACTTGATGAAGCTCTTCAGGTGAGTGAACTGTTGGAAAACGTGGACGCGGCGGTGAGCACTACTTTTACAAGTCCAGCTGTGGCCAGCTGCTCAGCCGCAAAGACACACAGCGATGCAAGTACATGCACGCCGACTCCGAAGCCAAACACGCGATGGCAACCTTCATGCTATTCGCCAACATGGAGACCAAACAATGGAAGACATGGTGCATGCTCATGGATCACAGACCAGAGTACTAACTCAGACGGCCAGTTCAACGATCACAGTTTCCACTGGGTCCCCGGAAGCTCCGACTACAACCTTTTACCCGCGGACGTCCCAGACCGATTCGGGATGGTAGAGCACTTTCAGGTAAGTGCGATAACGTACAAACTGATTTCATACCCACCGTTATTTGTACGTCAAATACAGCGTCAGCACTAACAGTAGAATTACGGATCGCAGGGGTTCGGTTAACAGGTCTCATCGACACAGGTGCATGTAAGAGCCTAATCAGATCTAACCTGACTAACCAGCTAGTAGAACGCGTATGCGCTCCTTGTCGCTACCGCCTAACTGCCGCCAATGGAGAATTGTTATCCGTTCGAGAATCCCTAACCGCACGGGTTGACATTGCGAACCAGAGCTTCACCTAGGAGTTTATTGTTGCGGACAAAATTCCGTTTGCTGTTACTGTTAAGATGGATCTGCTGTGCCATTTGAAGTGTTGATTGGATCTAGACAGGTGTCAACTGATCACATATAATTGTAGTATTGTTAAGACCTTGTGAAAGTGATGGTTTAGAGGTTTTTACAATCCATGAGGACACCCCAGACAGCGAAAAATACATAAACGCCTTTGTTCGCTCACTCGACCTAGTCACTGATGAGCAGACAGGTTTCCGCCCAGGACGTGGCTGTATAGACTATATATTCATGCTGCGGTAGGTGCTAGAGCAGCGCCACGCATTCCGCAGACCGACAACAGCTGTGTTCCTCGATTTCAAGAGTGCGTTCGATTCAGTCAATCGATGTATTTTGTTCGAAATACTTGCGCGGAAGTGTTCCTACGAAATATGTGAACATCCTTCATGCTCTATACTCGAACACTACAGGCCGCGTCAGGGTCTACGGTGTCCTATCGGATAGATTTCTGATTCTATCATGGAGTGTTCCCTTATGGAATCTCACGAAGTAGGCGCTGAAGCCCTGCCCGGTGAAAGGTTAGTTGATCTTGATTATGCGGACGATATCGTCTTGCTTTTTGACGATGTTGCGGCGGCACAGGCAACCCTTAATAGGCTGTCTAAAGTGGTCTTATTATTTGGTATACGCTTCGCGCCTTCAAAGTGCAAAGTGTTGCTGCAGGACCACCAGCCACTTTATGATCCCTTGACGCTTGCTAACGAGGAACTCGAGGTGGTTGATCATTTCACTTACCTTGGCAGCTTTATCAGCAAAGATGGGCGCATAAAAACTGAAGTCAGTTCACGCATTGCGAAGGCCAGAGCTGCCTTCTTGAACCTGTGGCATCTTTGGCGACAGAAGGGAGTTTCCCTCCGTCTGAAAGGCCGTGTATACAAGGCCACAGTGAGGGCCGTTCTGCTGTATGGTAGTGAGACTTGGCCACCGGTCTGAAGATCTGAGGCGCCTTCAAGTCTTTGAGCATCGTTGTCTGCGAAACATTGATGTTGTCGGATGGCACCAGCGTGTCCGTAACGATGATGTGCTTACGCGAGTACTAAGCAGTGATAATCATGCTAGCTCCCTAGAACAACAGATA